GTGATCGAGAGTGTGCAGACACGGAAGTACTTTCCACAGGCTGTACCCAGCTCAATATTATTTCCAGTGTAGTGGTGGACACCAGTCTTAGCCAGCATGGCGTAGTACTCAATCTCAGATTTCCTGATGATCAAATCGGGGGATTGAATTCATTATTAAAGTCATTTTATGGATTGTGGTCCTCGTGCACTCACGAGCACGACCTGAATTGAGACTACTCCGCAGGGCTCCAGAATCATGCGTTGTACAATTTAGAATTTATTATCTTTATTATTTATCGACGAATGAAAAATTTAATTATCGATCCAGGAATTCATTGGAGATGCTTTCAGCGAAACGACTGATTAGTTACAACACTTTTCGAATTGAGGATTTGAAATAGAATAAAAACTGAATTTTCAATGCAAAACGTCGATTCTGCTGATGGAATGTCCAATAAATTAGAAAAAATTGTACAACACACGTGGACAGCTGCATCTCAGTCTCACCTAAGTGGAGGCGTGTTATTCCCGATGATGACGAGCTTGGCCTTTCCCTGACGAAGTGACTTGAGTGTCTGCTTGTATCCCAGCACATATTTTCCAGACTTCATGACGAGAGCAAGTCTGGAGTTGATGCTCTCCATTGCCTTTTTCTAAATTATCCACATTAAAAATATATTTATATATTATTTGGATAAATAAAGCCGACGAAAGAGGTTAAACACGTGGGATCAGAACATGAATCTATCGTACCTGTTTTTTCTGGGCAGCCATTGCGTTGGGTTTTGTGTATAACACCTGTGGAATAATTGATACATCAATTAAATTCTTTTAATTTTCATCGACAATACTTTTAATATACAATATAACGGAGATGTGGAGAATACACAACTTACCCGTCTCAAGTTGAATGTAGAAAGAAAGAGTCTAGAGAGCAAACCGGAAGTTCCACTGCGCCAGCGCCACTCCAGTCACTGAAATAATGACAATTTCAAAAATGTAATTTCAAAATATTAAAATAATTTTTCAAAAACAATAAAACTGGATTATTCAGTTGAATCAAAATCATTTAAACTCGTAATTTACTCAATTGAAAAAATTACGTTTGATAATTAATTATTTGAAGTTAACCGCGGAAATTGCTGCGCGAAAAATTCGACGCAGTAGTTGTGTGCGGCAAATGTGTGAGAGGCATCATCACCGTTGTGAATAATGATAATTGTTGAATAAGTACTGACTTTTCTGGTGAAATTGAATCTTTGAAATTCTCTCAACTTGATAATCCACAATGGAGCCCCAAAAATCCCAGGAGGAGGACATCTTGTCCTGCTACCTCTACCCAAAATTCAGCTACACAACCCCAGAAACTGTCGACCTGCCCACCCTAACTGAGGAGATAAAAAAATACAACGACTACCTGGAGACCATCACCAAGAGCTACATGTGGCACTGCGATACCCCAGTGTTCCATCCACGAACAAAATCAATTCAACTGCTCGATAGTGTTCTCCAGGGTGACACAAAGCCAGAGGAGTCCACCCTGATTCCCCACATCCATTTGAAACTTCGCTACGACGAGGACATCGGTGACGAGTGGTTCACAGTATTCCTGATATTTAAATTAACCGAGTACTTCGAGGGTTTGATCGTTCGTCTCGTCGATTCAGACGGTGAATTTTTGCTGATTGAAGCTGCTGACCACTTGCCAAATTGGGCAGAACCTGAGACCTGTCAGGATCGTGTGTACGTGACAGGAGGTGCTGTCCACGTGGTGAAGGAACAGATATCTGCTGTGGAGAGGCTGACAAAATTATCAAAAAATCCCCAGAACTATCGTCTTTCCGACGAGGCACAAATGTGCATCAGACGACGAATTGGGGTTTACCCTGAGGAAATCGAGAGGAGAAGGCACAAGGCAAGGGCATTTCTTCCCGAGAAGGCAGCGTCCATCCTAGCGCAGGAACCTGGACTCATCGCTTTTGCTATTCGCACTATCGTGCATTCTGATCCCATGGAGAGGAGGGTATGCAGGGCTATGAGGTATTTTCCTCCTGAGCAGAGGACGATGGTCAATTTGATGATGACCAGATGCCTCTATGCCATGGCTACACACTGCAGGTATCAGGGTATTTATAAGATTATTCAATAAAAATATTACAAGTTAAAATTATTTAATTATTATTGATATTTTTTTTATTCTCAGTATCTTCTAAATAATTTTCTTGTCACCAGGTACACTGGAGACCCCAGGACTGGATGGAATTTTCCTCCCGCCAACAGTCCGAAATATAACGCACATTTGTTGGGGATTAAAATTGCCTGTGGCCTGGAGATCCTCGTGGCAAGAGCTCACGAGAGGAGGAAGAAGAGAGAAGGTACTGGAGGGGCTGGGGATGATGATAAGTGGAGGGAATACTTGAGGAGACTCGAGG